GACTCGTGAGGATGTTCAGATGGTCCAGGCTGATCCAGCACTGCAGGAACAAAGCCCCAAACTGGGGGAACTGGGCGGGCAGAAAGGCAAATCCTGCTGGGGAATCTGGCCCCAGAGCAGAGCTGGGAGCGATGGGAACCGTGCCCACCCTGCACCTAATGCCAAACCTCTCTCCTTCCCAGCTCTCCAGCCGTCTCTCCTCCAGCCCAAAGATGTGCTCCCGTGAGAACAGAGGCTGCCACAGCTCCGAGAGCTCCTCCTGCCACGGCGGCAGCTCCTCCTGCCACGACAGCGAGCGCTCCTGCCACGGCTCCGAGGGGGTCGTGTGCCACGAGGTGACCGCGGTGCCGGACGTGACCCCCGTGGTGGTGCTGACCCCGCAGTGCCCGGTGGCCACGGGCACGGGGCAGGTGCCCCTGGCCCAGGTTCCGTGCCAGCAGCAGCAGCAGCAGATCAAGCAGCCGGTGCAGTGGCCGCCACAGCAGCAGCAGAAGTGAAGGGTCCGGAGCTGCTCCTGTCCCCTGTCCCTGAGCTTGGACAGGCCCTGCCTCATCCCTCGGGCCCCTTTCCCTCCTCCTGAGAACCCCAAGTGGCATTAGTGCGGTGGAATCGGGATTTGTTCTTCGTTCCCTGCTCCTGTCTCCAGTAGCAAAGGTGTGATGTTGAATTAAAACCTAAAGCTCATCAAACCTGCTGGTGTCCTGGTGTTTTTCCACTGCTTTTCCTTATCTTTGGCACCGCTCCCAAGCCCGTCTGGGCTGAGGGGAGCTGCTTTCCACAGCTCCCTCCCCTTCCCATGGCATTCCAGTGGCTGGGATGGCTCAGCCCTGCAATCCCCACACCTTGGGCACCTGCCAGGCTGCTTTCAAAAGCTGTCTGGGGCTGAAGGTGAGGATCTGCGGATCAGCCTCTCTGCAATCTCAGCCCTTGGCTCCGAGCCTCAGACCCTCACGGGCCCGTTGTGAAGGGTTTGCAGTTTGTTCATGGCAGGCTCCATTCTGGAAATCCATTATCTCCATAAAGAGAAGGACACGAGCAGAGGAAGGACCACGACGTGCTCAGTGTCCCTTCTGACCCCTCTGAATGGAGAATTTGGGGTTAGATTGGTCTTCTGTGTGAGGGAGCTCTCCCTGCTTTGAAAACCCCATCATGAGTCTGTGTTCCCTGCAGGAAATCCCAGAATCCCAGAGGAACTGAGGTTGGAAAAGCTCTCCAAGACCTTTGAGTCCAACCTGTGCCTGATCCCCACCTTCTCACCCAGCCCAGAGCACTGAGGGACACCTCCAGGCCTTCCCTGGACCCCTCCAGGGATGGTGGCTCCAAACCTCCCTGGGCAGCCCCTGCCAAGGCCTGACCACCCTTTTCCAGAAGGAAATTCCTCCTGATGTCCTCCCTGAGCTTCCTTTCCTCCCAGCTGACCCCATCCAGCTCCTGTAGGAGTTCTCCAGACACTTCTCCTGCTGCCCCAGCCCCTTCCCCAGCTCCGTTCCCTTCTCTGGACACACTCCAGCCCCTCAATGTCCCTCTTTGAGTGAGAAAAAACATTCTCAGTTCCTCCCAAGGTTTTAACTGATTTAAACCATTAAAGTTCTGATCCCCACCTTGTAGATGTGAAAGGGGAAAAAACAAATTTTAGGTCTGCAGTTGGATTTCTCACTGCTCCAGACCCCACCAGGCCGATTTCTGTGGGATGAGAGCAGCGCTGTGTGTAATGCAAAAGACATTTAATTAGCCAAGGGTTCATGCTGAACCTTTGAAAGGAACAAGAAAGGTACCATTAGCACTCGTTTTATTACTACTCTTAATTAAAATAACGAGGAGCCTCAGTGCCAGGTGTGAGGTCGGTGATTGCAGGAGCAGGGAATGAACGTCGGGGTTGGGAACGTGCGGCTCCAGCCTGGCACGGGGACGTCAAGGGGTGCCAGTCCCTGTCCCCCAGCACCCCTCGCCCACCCGGTGCCAACCCAGCCAGACGAGCGGCTCCAGGCTGGGTTTGAGTCTACCTTTGTGGGAAGGGCAGATAAAATCTCCAAGGTGAATCCTTTCAAAGCAATCCAAGGCTTCACCTACACTCCCAGCTGAGCCGGAGCCATCCAGGCTGTGTCACTTCATGGAAGGAAAGACTCGGGCAGGGCCTGAGGGGCAGAGACAGGGAACTCGAGCTGGAGTTGTGTGATCTCCACACACATCTGCAGAGTAAAGCAGGACAGGCTGCAGGAATCCAGCAGGAAACTGTCCCCACCTTCTCCCCCACAAAGGCCACAGCAGCGAAGGTGCTGCACCCTGCAGAGAAATATCCCAGGGAAAGCCTCTCCCCCTTCCTCTGCTTACAGCGAGCTCGGGTGGGTCCAGGCAGAGCCAAGTCACCTGTGCAAACACGGAGTCCGCAGGTAATTGTCCACAAATGTTCCAGGCCATTGGTGAAACCCCCTCAGTCAACCACAGGGAGTGGCAGAGCTGCTGCTTGGCTCCAGCTGCTCATCCCACGCCTGGAGCTCATCCCACACCTCCTGGAGCTCATCCCACAGCTCCTGGAGTTCATCCCATACCTGGAGCTCATCCCACAGCTCCTGGAGTTCATCCCACACCTCCTGGAGCTCATCCCACAACTCCTAGAGCTCATCCCGCACTTCATAGAGCTCATCCCACACCTCATGGAGCTCATCCCACACCTCATGGAGCTCATCCCACACCTCATGGAGCTCATCTCACTCCTGGAGCTCCTCCCACACCTCCTGGAGCTCATCCCGCATCTCCTGAAGCTCCTCCCACACCTAATGGAGCTGGAAGTTTCCACAGTGAGCCACTCCTGGAGAATGGGGGCTTTGCCCTCTCATGACCTCAGACATTTCTGTTTCCTGCCCCAGTTCCTGATATTTATACCCAACACCTTTTTTTTTTCCTTTTTCCCTCCTCACCTCTCTCAGGTGACTGCAAATCTCCTCCCACAGGTGGCCAAAAGTCCCTGAGGTGCTGCCTGGCTACGGCCCGACCCAAACCTTGCTGGGAAGTGTTACGGGTTCGTTCTGTGCTCAGGGTAAGGCAGCTCAGCCGTGAGTGCTCCAGTCTGAGGGATCCCAGTGAGTCAGCAGAGCATCACCCCAAATCCCTCGTGCCTCACGCCTAATCCCCGGTGCCATCCCAGTGTTGACACATTCCTGCCTTTTATGGGACAAGAAGATGTAATTGATGGGTCGGATGGGCATGACTTGTACCCAGGCATGGGAGACCAAAGTTCACCCGTGATTCACGGGAAAATCCATGTTCTGAAGTGTTTCCTACATCACACTGTTGTGTTTGTGCCTCCATCCCTGTCTCATCATCCCTGAGATCATTCCAGAGGTGCTGTAAGCAGGACAGAAACAGCAGCACTCTGTTCTGGCTAAAATAAAAAGTTCTGAGTAAAATCAGAAGAGAAAATAACCAAAACACCTCTGGGAGGGTGAGCAGGGCTTGGGCCATCCTGGAGGTGTCCAAGGAACACCTGGATGTGGCACTCAGTGCTCTGGTCTGCTTGACAAGATGGGGGGTGCTCAAAGGTTGGGCTCAGTGGTCTTGGAGATCTTTTCCAACATCAGTGATTCCAGAAATCTGGGATCCTGTTCACCCCGAACCATCCTGTCCTGGCATTTGACACCACTGCCCCCAACACCACATTGGGGTGCAAAACCAGACTGAAACAGCACCTGAAGCCTCAGGCTGGGTTTGCTTGGCCAGGTTTTGGTGGATGGGGATCCACAAAGGTGGCAGAACCTGTGGGCTATGGACAGGAACCCACTCTGGGACAGATTTGGTGAAGAACCTGTGGACTATGGACAGGAACCCACTCTGGGGCAGGTTTGATGGCAGAACCTGAGACCCCATGGACAGGAACCCACTCTGGGGCAGATTTGGTGGCAGAACCTGTGGCTTTGGTGGGCACCTGGAGGAGAAATCCTTGCTGGGCCACACCGGGCAGGCAGGTTGGAATGACCAGTGAAGGACAGATTTGGGCTAATGCAAACCTCTCATTGAGATATCCGGCCCCATTGTGCAATTCCCTTGCAGAATTCCTGCCCTAAACCTAATCCGCAGGGATTAACATCAATAATTATTCTTTCACATGGAGGTCGGTCACATGGAGATCCTGGTCCACGTGACCCTGAGGAATTTGGGATTACAAACACCTCTTCAGCCTGATCCATGTTGTCCATGAGCAGATCCATTGGTCACTTCACGTGAAATTCCTTCCAATCTCGTTCATAGGGAGGTGAAGGAATTAATGAGCTATTAATAATTACAATGCTAAAAACAGAGAGCATCAAAGGGAAAATACGGGAAGCTGAACGCAACGGATAGAAATGGGCTGGGATCTGTAATTAGGGATGCCTCATGGCCCAGATAACCCTGTGGAAAAGTATAAAAGGTTTCCCATCCCAGTTTCCTTCACTCGCTGCTCTGCTCCAAAACAGCTCCATCCCCACTGCTGGAAGGGTGAGTCCAATTTTTCTCTTCCCCTGGCGTTTCTTTAGGAATGTTTTCCCTCAAGTTTGGGTAGAATTGGAGTGTTGGACGCTCCCTCCTCACCTCCGCATCTTGGTCGTGCTGGAGACCAAGTTCTTGTTACCCACAAGAGCAAATTATTAAAACAAATGACAATAAAGGCCTTGAGCAGAGACTCAAGCCAAACCAAAATAACAGAAAGGGTAGAAAATACAGACAGAGGGTTTTGTGGAAAAGGGGCTTGAAGGTTTCCAAACAGGAGGAACCAGAGGGTCTGGAGCTGCTCTTGGGAAATTGATGTTTGGACCAACTTTTCTCTGGAAATCAAGTCCCATCCGTAAGAGTTTCTGGGTTTAGTGAGGGATTAAAGCATCTCCCAACAACACTGACCCCGTTTTCTCACCCCTGAAGAACTGGAAATCAGGAAGAAAATGGGGAATCCCAGAACAAATGTCTATAAGCTCGTGCGGCTGTGACCGTTCCTCTCTTCCCTCCAGCTCTGCCACCTCTCCAGGACGATGTGTTCCCGCCGCTCCTGCCACAGCCACGAGACCTCGTGCCACGAATCCCGCTCCTCCTGCCACGACTCGGGCCTCTCGTGCCACTACTCCATCCAGAGGCAGCCCGTGCAGAAGTTCAGCTACGTGACGCCCTGCTGCCCCCCGGTGCAGCCCTGCTACCCTCCAGTGCAGCGTTACTGCCCCCCGGTGCAGCCCTGCTGCCCCCCGATGCAGCGTTATTGCCCCCCGGTCTGCCCCCAGGTCACCAAGAACATCTGCAAGCTGCCCCCGTGCTACCCCAAGTACTGAGGGCAGGGTCTGGGATGCACTGGACCGCTCCTGCCTTGGATGCTCTCCATGCCTAAAGCTTCAGCCGATGGCTCTTTATTCCCATTTTTAATTTGATCCTCGAGTTCCTCGGCCGTGGTTAAATTTGGGTTTGCTCTTATTTGGTTTAATTTGCTCAGCATGCAGGACCCAGCTCAGGTTGCTTTCCATGAAGCTGGGAATGATTCCTGCTGCTTTTCACCCATTTGACAGTCTCCAAAGAAATAAAATTTGATTTCCAAAAGTAAAAGAATTTCATGGTCTCTTTATTCTTTGATCTTTTTTCTTCAGAATAATTGTTACCTCTGACATTTTAATCACCACTTCTCACTCTTTTCTCCTCAAGCTGATCACAAAATATACCTAAAATTTCAAAATAATAAAAGCCAGAGATTCCAGAGGCATTTCTGAAGTAACTGAAGGCTCAGGGAGCCCATCTGTACCCTATTTATTCACATATTGATACACAGAATATGTATTTATACATTTATATCCAGAAGGAATTGCTCCCAGGAGGGTGATGAGCCCCTGGCACTGGTGATTCCACGGATGCCTGGAAGTTCCCAAGGCCAGGCTGGAGGGGGTTGGAGAACCCTGGGACAGTGGGAGGTGTCCCTGCCATGGCAGGGGTGGCACTGGACATCTTTAAGGTCCCTCCCCATCCAGCCCGTTCCAGGATTCCACTGGAGGGAACTGGTCCCCTCCTCAGCAGCTCCTCACACTTCGTTTGTCCCTCTGACTCAGAGTCACAAACATTTTGAGGTGTCTAATAAATGCAAATAAGCACCTCGTGGCTTCTCCTAGCCCTCCTTCTTTCACTGAGCTCCAAATTACTGTTTTCAGCGACAATTGCAGGTGCTTAAAATAAGTGTGAAATCCCTCTGGATTTTTGACAACCTCAGACTTTCCTTATCTCCCAGTCCAGCTGAGACACCGGTTCCAGAACAGGCTCTGTGGCTGCATCAGCTTCCCCAAGAGCTCAGCAGCCAGACTCAGCTTGAGTTAATGACCCCGAGAGTTGAGTGAGATTATCTTTAATGTCCCTTCCAACCCAAGTCATCCCGTGATTCCCTGATTCCATGGATTCCTCCCGCCTGACGGAGAATTGACTCAAGGGCCTCCCCCAGAAAGGAGTTGTATCCACCCAGATGAAGCATTTCTCCATCACAGCAGCTTCCAGAAGACTTCAGATTCTCCTAAGCTCCAAAAGATTTCCCTAAAAGCTGTTGGGTTTCTGAACCATGGCCTGACAAATAAATAAAAATATTCATAGAATCATAAAATAGTTTGGACTGGGAGGGACCCTAAAGATCACCTCATTCCCCGATCCCTGAGTTGTTCCTGTGGCTCTCACCTGGATAAAAGCCACAGGAAAGGGATAATCACCCATTTTACCCATTTTATTGTCCTAAAACCTTGGGCTGCTCTGGGACAAACTTGGGACCAAAGAGCAAAACGCGGGAAAGAATAAAAATTACAAAACCGCTTAAATGAAATGGGACCCCACAGAAACCTGGGGTTGAAAACAGATAAAATCCTCCACAAACCTTTCCTGCTGAGGATTTGAAACCCCTCCATCCAGGAGGAGCGCGAGCAGGAAAATATTGTGGCACAAACGGAAAAACAGCTGACGGTTGTCAAACGGAACAGAAAAAATTGGGATTCGGGACGTCATTCTGGCGTCACCTCCGGAGTCGAGGCGTTGGGTCCCAGGTAGTCACCAGGACCTCCCTCTAATGAAGTCCCTGGGAGTTGTGGCTCTTAATTACAGTCCCTTGTGTCAGGGGGAAAAACCTATCAATCAAAATGTGACTCTGCCACAGAGAACCAGGGGCAGCACGTGGGGAAGGAGTCAAGCCTCCGGAGTTGATGCAATCCCAGTTGCCCAACGACAAATCACTTAATAACTCCAGGGATAGGTTCATTTTTGCCACAGGAATATGCAACTGCCTCCAAAATTCCCTTCTAAGCAGATTGGGAAATTTCTCATTTATTAAAGTGCTGAGGAAAAAGTCATCGTTGGTTTTTTCCTGACTGCGTGGAGTCGGAAATGCTAAAAACAAGACACAGGAGATAAATATGAATATGAGGGTTTGTGTCAGCATTGCCAAGAGATGCCTAATTCCAGGACAACCCTTTGGGAGATATAAAAGTCCGGCATCCCCTGTCCATCCTTCAGTCAGCATCAGCTCCCTGAACTCTTCCTCTTGCTCCAGCCAAGGGTGAGTTGGGTTATGTTGATTTATCTACTCTTGAGCAGCAGAAGTTCTCAGAGTTCTGAGTTTAGACCTTGCCTTTGTCTTTGTTTTTGATGACTGGGTGTCTGAACAGACAAAAGGAGTGCTTGGTTTGCTCACGGGTGGGACGGCAGAAAAGCAGAAGCAGTTGAAGGAGCAGACCTGCAAAGGCAGGGAGTCCTTGGGAGCCAGCGAGGAATTCACTTCCAGACTGGCAGGTGATGAAGGTAGAGAGAGCTCAGACGAGTCAGAGCAGTTTTAGAGGGAAATTCTACCTTGAAAAGCCAACAGGAGCATCTTGGGAGGGAAATTCCCATCAGAGCCGCACCATCGTGAAGTGCCCTCCAAAGGGAAGGGTCTCCATGTCCTGTACACCCCAAAACAGAGGGAAACATTTCCCATCCCAGTCCCAAAGAAGAGCCAAGGAAGGAGCGGCTGTCCCAGCCTGACCATCTCTCTCTTCCCTCCAGCTCTGCCAGAACTCCAGGACGATGTGCTCCCGCGAGTCCTGCCACGACTACGAGTCCTCCTGCCGCGGATCCCGCTCCTCCTGCCACCGATCCTGGTTCTCCTGCCACAGGTCCCGCTCCTCCTGCCACGAGCCGGAGCCCTCCTGCCGCGACATCCAGAGGCAGCCGGTGCAGAGATGCACCTACGTGACGCCCTGCTGTCCCCCCGTGCAGCGCTACTGTCCCCCTGTCCCCTGCTCTCCCCCTGTCCCCTGCTGTCCCCAGGTGCCCTACTGCCCCCAGTACACCAAGAACATCTGGAACCTTCCACCAGCATGTCCCAAGTACTGAACAGGACCCAGCCCCGGCAGCCGGAGCCACCGGCTCCTCCCTTGGACACCCCGACCTCGGCTCGGCTCGTCCACGCTGAAATCCCTGGGTCTCCACCATGTGGGATCTTGGTGGGAATGAAATATTCCCCTAATTAACATTTATGGTGTTATTCTTGCTAATTATTCGGGAAATGTCCTTTCTAATTATTCAAGGTGTAATTGTTTGTTGGGAATCTTTCTCTGCCTTGCACTTCTGTTTCAGACTCATCTGGGTGTGGGAAACAATAAATCTGATTCATGAGACCCTCATTGTCTTTGAATTCCTTTATTATCTTTTTATTTGAACTTATTTTGCCATTTTTTCAGGGGTTTTCAATTCAAATTTCTTTGCATTTCCAAAGTATCCCAATATTTGATGGCAAATAATTCTCACGTTCATTTGGGAATGAATGGAAAGGAAAGGGGGAGATTGTCAAAGATTGGACTCAATGATCTCAGAGGGCTTTTCCCACCTCAGTGATTCCAGGAAATTAAATGGAAGGGGAATAAACAGGTCACACTGCTCCTTCTCAATACACAATAACTTACTCCAAGCTCTATTTCAGACCTTGGATATAAATTTTCAAATATCTGAAAGCCTTTGAGCCTCTGAGAACAGAAGGCCCAAATTTCTGTGAAAGAACTGTGAGAAAAGGATGATGGGAACTCTGCTGAGATCCCATTTTCCTGAGCAGGCCCTGAATTTGAAAGGTTCAGAGACATTTTTTGGGTGTTTTTGGAAGGCTCTGGGGGAAATAGAAAGATTTTGGAGAGCATCAGTGTGGACAAAAGGAGAACTGCCACCCAAGCTCCCACTTTGCCACGTGGGCGGCTGCTGAGGGACCCACACCTGAGCCACCAAACGTCCCTGAGGAATTCCTGTCATCCCCCCTTGCTCCACAAAACTCCCCATGAGGAACTGGCTGCCTTTACCCTGGAGAACAGCTGTGGGACACCCCCGGACTGGGAGATCTTCCCTTCCCAGTCAGTGAATTGCTTTAATAGGCAATATTTTCCCAGGTTGAGGAGTTTCGTTTTTTTACACTTCAAACTCTGAGTCAAACAGGGCCATAAATCCAGCTTTAGTGCCCAAACTTCCACGAGTAATGACAAAACCCAATATTTGCCCAAACTTCAGCTCCTCTTCTCTGAATCCCTGGTGAGGTCAGGTGAAAAAGATGTGAGAGATCACGGAATGAAAGAGAAACCAAGGAATGGGAAAATTTAATATTCTCAAACCTCATACAGAGCTCAGGGTCAGATGTTTTTCTCTTTAATAACATGTGATTCACGTGGAACAACCTGATGGGATCATCCCAGTCACCTGCCAAGCTGAGGGACACCTGAAGAATCAGGAACATTTTATTTCTTGTCAGCCCAGGGAGCCGAGGAGATCCCGCTGGATTTTCCAGCGTTGTGCCATCCCCAGGAATTGCAGGCGGTAATCCCATTTCCTCTTGGCATTCACCAACAGGGGAATTAAAACCCTGAGCTGTCACCTGCACCCAACGGGAGACCAACCCCAGGAGTCAGCGTTTCTGAGACCTTTCTGTGCCTGATGCAATCCCGGGTGTCCCTCGTCCCTAATTAACACCCGTCACATCAGTGTCAGTCTCCAGGAAATGGGAGCGAGCTGCCCTTCCGAAATCCCTGCCGTAGGAATCACTGGCAGGACGGGGCCCTGTGCGTCAAGGAGGGAACACCTAAAAATCAGGGGAAGTGCAAACATCTGCGGGATTGAGCGCAGAATTAATTAAGATGTCATCGTGAGGAGGTGCCTCACACCCCGGGTAACCTCGGCAGAGGATAAAAGCTCCCTCAGCCCCGTCCTCCTCAGTCGCTCGCCTTCGCTTCCAGAAACTTCTTGCTGCAGCTGAAGAGGGTAAGACCAACCTCGTCGTTTCTGTTCTTGAAATCTCCACAAGGGGTTTTTATGGATCTCATGGGAGCTGGGATTTAGGGAAGTGCCTCCTGCCTGTGCTGAGGGAGGGAGAGGTGGGGAATGGCAGATGGAAAATAAGGATGCCTGGGAATCCTGGAAAGGCGCAGCCCCCAGAGGGATCCTGGGGTGACACAAACTCTGCTGGAACTGGGGCCTGGCAGATGTGCTCCTGGGGCTCCAATTGACTCACAGGGACCAAATTTCACACCCCAATTCCCAGAGCACTCCCAGCAGACCCGGCAGGATCGAGGGGGTGTTGAGTCTGGGTTAGGCAGGTGAAAAAAGGAGAGAAACAGTTCACAGGAAATATCAAGAAAAAATATTATTAAAAAGAAAGAGGAGGAATATAGGAAGAGAACCAGAGTCTCCTCTCACCACATTGATTCCTTGCTCCAAACAGCTTTGCCAGAACTCCAGGACAATGTGCTCCCGCGGGTCCTGCCATGACTACGAGTCCTCCTGCCACGGATCCCGCTCCTCCTGCCACGGATCCCGCTCCTCCTGCCACTCGGGGCCCTCGTGCCACTACACCATCCAGAGGCAGCCCGTGCAGAAGTTCACCTATGTGACACCCTGCTGCCCCCCGGTGCAGCCCTGCTACCCTCCAGTGCAGCGTTACTGCCCCCCGGTGCAGCCCTGCTGCCCCCCGGTGCAGCGTTATTGCCCCCCGGTCTGCCCCCAGGTCACCAAGAACATCTGCAAGCTGCCCCCGTGCTACCCCAAGTACTGAGGCAGGATCCAGCACCGGCTCGCTCCTCGCCCGCCCCTTCCAGCTTCGTCACTTCTCTCCAAGAAAAACCTTCTAAAACTGCCAGAGGTGATGCAGTCTTAGGATGAAACCTCTCGGTTTAAGGAGCTCTGAGCTGTTTATCTTTCCTCTGCCGATGCTGGGAATGGTTCCCTTCTTGCTTCGCTGCTTCGTCCTCCAGCAAGACAATAAAAATGGTGTTTCAAGCCGACCAAAGAGTCCTGGATGTTTTCAGTCACTGCTCCATTAGATTGGTTGGGTCAATGGTCAAGAGGGACACTGAGGAGCTGGAGTGTGTCCAGAGAAGGGAACGGAGCTGGGGAAGGGGCTGGGGCAGCAGGACAAGGGTCTGGAGAACTGCGGGAGCTGGGTGGGCTCAGCTGAGAAGAAAGGAGGATCGGGGGGACATCAGGAGGAATTTCCTCCTGGAAAAGCGTGGTCAGGCCTTGGAAAGGGCTGCCAGGGAGGTTTGGAGCCGCCATCCCTGGAGGGGTCCAGGGAAGGCCTGGAGATGTCCCTCAGTGCTCTGGGCTGGGTGAGAAGGTGAGGATCGGGAACAGGTTGGATTTGGTGGTCTGGGATCTCTTTTCTCTGGGATTACTCTGGGTTTCCATGCTGGTCTGGCATCATCTCTGTTTCCTTGTGTGTTTGGAATCATAATTTAATCCCTGGAGCTGGAGGAATGCCAAGGAAACATGAAATCCATGGAAAACAGCTGCAGGGCTGGGAGGAGCACATGGGGTGAATTCCTGGGGGAAACAACTCCTTACCTTGTTGGGGGTTCGGGTTTCCACCTGACCTGTGTGTTCATGTTTTCCCCGCATGTTTCTGCTCTCAGAGCCACTGCTATTTTTGGAACCAAAATAAAATCAAATCCTGCAGGGTTTGGAACACGGAGCAGCCTCAATTAACCAGTTTCTGCAATGTAAAATAAGTGAAGGTTTCCCCAGCGTGATTCATCCCTCATCACCCATCCCTGGTGTGGGAAACAGCCTGGAATGAGCTGGGTGCTGCAATAGCCACTAAATGACCACTTGGTCAAAAAGCAATTGGAATTAGTTATTTATAGGTTCTGGAGAAAACGCTCATTAGCGAGGAATGGGTTAAAAAGGAAAAGTTGAGGCTGGGAGAGAGAGCAATGAATGATTCACCTGCCTGGGGGTTTCTGCCCTTGCTGAGAGGTGGCTCAGCCTCACAGGAGCCTGAAAAAATTATTTTCTTACTCATTCCTGCCCTCCCTGCAGGTGGGAATGGAGTTACTGAGGTTTCCTGGCCACAGAAGTGGTTTGGTCTTCAAGCAGAGACTTTCACTTCCCTGTGCTGCCCCAGCTTCCAACTTTCTCCTCCATCACTGACCACAGCACGTTTTATTTCCTTCTCCAAATCCAGAGAAGACCATAAAGTTGATAAGGAGCATTTCCCCCATGGAGCCAGGCTGGGAATGTTGGGAATGTTGAGCCTGTGGAGACTTCAGAGCCTCTCCCAGGACCTGCAGGGGCTCCAGGGAAGCTGGAGAGGGACTTTCCCTCCTGAACTGCAGGGGCAAGACACGGGGAAATTATTTCAGAGTGACGGAGAGGAGTTTTAGGTGGGATATCAGGAGGAAATTGTTCCCTGTGAGAGTGGGAAGGCCTCGAAGAGCCACAAACATTTGGCAAGAGAAATCCTCTCCTCCAGGTGGCCTGAAGGGACATTTCTACTCTGCTAAGGACACAAATAACGACACAATGGAGGACAAACTGTGAGGAAACCCCCAGGGATTAATGGGGAGGAATTTGCCTCAGGATTGCTTTCCTGAATCTCCAAACAAACAGAGCTCTGCTCCTCTGGGCACCTTCCAGAGCCTTGCACTCAAAGCAAAATATAATTGAGACATTTTTATGGCCCTAATTTGAATGTTTTCCTCTTTAAAATCGCTGTTGGATCTATGAATCCACCTTGCAGAGCTTTAAACACCTCTGGTGTTCCCATCCAACTCAACAATGGGGGTGAGGTTTTTTTGGCTCACTGGATGAATCCATGCACCGAATCTGTACAAAGTCAACATTTTGGCCAACCTCTCTTCCATCACCTCCCAGCTCAGAATGTCCCACATTTTTAATGCTGGAGTTTCTCCAGAGGCTCTGGAATCCCCTGCCCGAGCCTCCTCGCGGGGGCTCAGCCCATGCGAATGTCAATCACTAATTAGGAGATAATGAGCCGCACCTGGCGCAAGGTCATTAACACAGCTGAAGCCAATAGGAAATTAAGCTTCGAGGGAACAGGAACGTTGACCTTGGGATGGCCTTGCCTGGAGAAGTGGTGACTTCACGGTCCTGTGAATTCCTCAAAGCAGGACCAGCTCCTCGAATTGTGACGTGGCCAAAGCTTCAAGAGCAGAACTGGGGGAAACAGAGGTCTTGCGTCAAATGGGAGGTTCTGGTGACCCAAAGGGTCCTCAACGTCCAGAACTGGATGAGCAAACGCAGCCTAAATCACCCCTCCCTCACCCCAGCAGAAGTGAGGGGTCTCCCGGGATGCAGGGAGTGCATCAGCCCTTCCCCTGGGGGTGACCTCAGACACCAAACATTTCCCCTGACCGGAGAGAGATCATTTTTTAATAAAGTCGTGGTTTAATTTGAGATCCTCGACATGCTCAGGACATCACACGGAGCTTTTATGCAAAACAGATATTAACACCCATCATTAATGGCTGATCACAACGTGATCATTAGCATCAGCGCTAATCGCTGCCAGCGAGTGACTGGGAGCTGAGCACGGAGTTTTTCCAGAATTAACATCCATGGGTGGCTCTTCCATTACTCCAGGGCATCTTGGAATCTGAAAAGAATTGAACAGGAATTTTGCAGATCAAGTTATGCCGAGCATAAACAGGATGCAAAACTTCCAGAGCAGTTTTGCATTTTGCTTTTATTTAAATATGTCAAAGAGGAATTGGAAAAACACAGGATCCAATTTGACCCGAAGGCTCCAATTTGACCCGAAACCAATTCCAAATTTTCACGATGAATTTGCAGTTAAAATGTCTGATATTGGCAAGGCCTTGAGCCTGAGAGAGTTCAAGGAGAGTTTGGATAATGACCTTGGGCCCAGGGTGGTTTTTTGGGGCTGTGCAGGGCCAGAGGTTGGTCTGGATGGTCCCTGTGGGTCCCTTCCAGCATGGGATATTCCATGATTCTATTCCCAGGTGTTTTCCCATGCACGGATGGGATGAGGGGGTGAGGGATGAGACACTGAGAACTTTCTGGGTTTGCCCTTCTGGTGGCCCCAAACAAGGACTTTGGGCTCCACCATTTCTGCATTCAGACACAAAGCATGGGACCATGGAATTGCACTTCCTGGAATTCTATTTTTAAAATATATCAAGGAGCAACTGACGTCCAGAAGCTTCTGCACGCCTCTGGAATCCACTGCACCTCCATCTTAATTAGGATTTTTATGTCAATTAATCATCTCCATGCACCAGCCTTACCATATGCAAAGCGAGCAGAAACAACGCCTTCGAGCGTCCCACAAGAATTAACTCGACATTAAAAAATTGTAAAAAATTCACACGACAGATTGATAATAACCCAAAATTGAGGGGTTGGTCAAAAGCCACGAGGCAAAGACTAAACACATGAAGGCCCATTGGGTGAATAAGTACAGGCTTAGTGCGTAAATCACGGATTGCTGGGGGGTACCTCATGTCCGGCAGGACAACTCCAACCTCAATAAAAGGTCTCCAGGTGCCTCTGCTCCTCACACACCTTCAGCTCTCAGCAAGAACGGTGAGTGTTTCCTACCAGGGATCGTTTGTTCTCATTTGGCTTTGGGCAAGTGATGAATTGAGGCTGGGTCTTTGTGTCTGATCTCTGCTGGGCGTTGGGCTGGATGGACCTTCAAAGGTGTCTTCCCACCCAAAATGTTCTTTGGTTCTGTTGGTCTGTGATTCCATGGGTTTATGGTTCCACGGCTTTGTGATTCCATGGGTTTCTGGTTCCATAGGTTTGTGATCCGATGGCTTTATGGTTCTAAGGTTTTGCAATTCCATGGTTTCAGTGTTTTATGATTACTGGGGGCTCCATGATCTACAGCTCTCCCTGAAATCCCGATTTTTCTGAGACTGTTGCCTCTTGGAAAAGGTGGAGAGAGCACAGTGGAAAGGAGCTGCTCAGGGTGGAAATTCAGGGAGGGAATGTCCTAGATGAGCACGGGCAGGTCCCAGGAGAGTTCAGATATCTGTGGGACAGAGCAACAGTTGGTTCGATTCCTGCGAGGATCTTGGGTTTCCAACTCAAGACGAAGAAATAGGAAGCGAGGTGGGATGAGGGCCTAGGCACTGTGGAAAGATGGGCTGAATCTCAAAGTCCTTTGTGTTCCAGGTCCTCGCTCCGGCCACCCTTCGCTCCTCTCCCAACACCATGTGCTCCACTGGATGCTGTTCCACGGGATGCTGCTCTGTCGTGAAGAGCAAGACCGTGTGCTGCAGCCCCTGCAAGACTGTGTGCTGCAGCCCCTGCAAGACCGTGTGCTGCAGCCCCTGCAAGACCGTGTGCTGCTCCCCATGCCAGCAATCCTGCTGCTGCGACCCGTGCCAGAAGACTGTGTGCTGTGACCCATGTCAGACCTGCTGTGACCCATGCCAGAAGCCTTGCTGTGACCCATGTCAGACCTGCTGTGATCCATGCCAGAAGCCCTGCTGTGACCCGTGCCAGACCTGCTGTGACCCGTGCCAGAAGCCTTGCTGTGATCCATGCCAGACTGTCTGCTGTGACCCATGCCAGAAGCCCTGCTGTGA